CAGCCCTAATTTAAATATTTTAAAAAGCATAATGAAGTAACTGAAAAAGCAAATTGCAATGAATAATAAGACTATATGATTATAAATTTGAGAGATTAAAAAAGTGATCCCAACTTTATCGCTGATTTATTGAGTAAGAAAATTCTATTTGTCCTTTATTTACCTACTTACAAAGCATGCGCATCTGGAATAATCACATCTGTAAGAATATTTATTTTGTTGGTCTCTATGTTGACATAAAGAACTGTTTATAAAGTTCATTTTAGGTTAATATGGCCTTGACTCAGGGATGGAATTCCTAGAAAGTTTTTCTTAAGCTTTGGGAATTTACATAGATATTATGTCATCAGGGATTGCAAGTCATAATGAACCCAGAAGCATGAAATTGCTTAGTGATCATCGTTATTGGTTCTGGGGAGAGATGCTATTTGACAATTAAAGACACATGGAATTCACCAATTCATAAATGTATTTCATTCACTCAAAATAAGTGTTCATTCCTTAATTCATCCATTTTCCGCCTCCCCAAGTCCTCTATATCCTTTCTGCCCCTGTGTCTCCCATTCAATGTCACTTCCTGTCCCTCTTTCTCTACTGTGTTGGCCTCATTCTTAGGTGACTCTCGCTGTGTGGTGGAAAAAAAATGACAGCCTCGGTTAACTCTAGACTTACATCACACATCATTCCTGAAGTTTGAGATTCTAGAAGGGAGAAGGGTTTGTTTTACCCAAACATAAATTTCAGTGATCAGAAAGGCTCTGATTGGCTCTGTTTGGATCACATGCCCATTGGTGAATCCACTTCTCTGTCCAAACCAGGTTTACAATAATTAGACACCCAGTGAACTACAAGAAGATTAACAGAATAAGGCCCTGGTAATGAATGCGTGTGTGAAAGATGTATATATGTATATATGATGGCTACAATTATATGGCTAGGATGCTAGAATTTTGTACCTTATCCTTTCCTTTTTAGCACTTTTGTTTATTATGGTGATGCCCTAGCAGTTATAGCATTTCACTATCAATAACTACTACCCAGGGATCTTTCTTTATGACAAAAAGATTAATTTGTTGTAAGTAATGATTCTAATGTAAAACATTTTGTTTTATGATGCAGATGAGAAGCTATAAATATAATTTAGAGAATTTGAAAATATATTTTAACATTCACCATTCTTCTCACTAATTAATCAAATTATAAAATTATTCTGTGGTTTCCAGTATATTAAAATAAGTTGTCGTATTTGGAACATCAGTTTATGTTCCTCTCATGAATATGTGTTCCCAAAGCGCTGAAATACAGATTGGCATAAATAATGTTTGTAATTTATTCTGTGAAGGATGATACCTCCTTCCCTTCATAATGCTTGTTTATTTCCCACAAAGAAAATCTTCTAGATTGTATTTTATCTGTCCCTTATCAAGATGGAGGAAAAAGGACCTGGGTCTTAGTTAAGTGATGCTGATTGGCTATGAAAAGTGATGGCTATCATCAGCAGCCTTCCCAGACACCATACCATGGCTCCAGACAGTCAGCTGGTACTATCACTTTGTCTCAACTATAAATCATAGTCTCATAATGGCCAAGGCTAACACATTGACATTTTCAAGAACAGTAAAAGACCTGATTAGAATGGAAATCAATTTCATTTCACAAATCTTAAGTTACTACTTCAAGCCTTTTCTTGTGTCTTCTTGAACCTTGTTTGAGATTTCATGATCAGCAGAGAATTATTTGAGTTTTATATTGTGAGTTCTTTGAGCTGCAAAACCATATTCTTACTTCCATCTTCATCCTTAATATAGAGAAATTGATTTTTAAAAATTTTAAGTAAGAAAAAATCACTAGTAAGCCAGATTTTATTTTAACCATGATACATTGTTGGCATAAAGTTGGTAATAGCAGGAATTGTTGTTCAGTTTTGCAAAACTTTTGTGAAATGATCTATGACTTAAAAATAGAAGTTATGTACACATATATTCAGATTAACTGTTGATTATCTAATAATAAATCATGTCCAATATTGAGTGATTTTGAAATCAATTAAGCAGGTCTCAACCCTAAAAATCTGAAAAGTATTTGAATTTTTATGTTCTAGCATACCAAAAGAAGGTTTCAAGCATTAAGTTTTAACTATTCTACTACCAGTGTAGAATAACAAGCACTGAATTATGTTAGGTAGGTTCAGATATTAAACTTCATGAGATTTTGGCCATTATACCCAAGTAATAGAAGTAACTACACAGTTTGCTAGTGTGAAAAGAAGTTCTTTTAGGGCTTTTAGGAACTTGGTATTCAATACTTAAAATTTAAAATTTACTCTGTCTTGTCTTCTATCTTTAAGGGAATACCCTAGTTTCTTCAAAAGACATAGAAGAAGAAAATTACACATACTTAGTATTTTTGTTTGCTCTCTCGCTAAAAGTGATCTAAACTTAGAGAAGTCTTAGGTCTCCAAAGCACAATATTAATGGAGAATTTGGGCATTACTGCTCTCTGTTTTATCAAATTTGGAATTATTACCATGATTCCTGGTAGTGATTCCTCTTCATCTTCATTATTTGCCATCAAAATTGTTTTAATTCATTCGTGTAAATAGGAATACTCTTTAATTATTAAGTTGATTGTTTTATACAGTCCCACGAACAAGAGAAATTGTAAATAGTTATAGACAGGACACTACAACTCTTAAATTTTATATTCATCCTTCTACCTATTCATCCATTAATTCCTAATATATACAAAATATAAATTCTAAGGTAGGTTGGGAATACATAATGAACTTAGAATTTCTTCCTTTTGGTATAGTATATTCTTATGAGAAAATAAGAGAGCCAAAAAAGTATAAATTCAGAACATAACAGATCCATTAAAGAAATATAAACACAATGCTTTGGGATTCTAGAAATTACATGCATGGTGCTCTAATTTGGATGGAATATCTTCTGAAGGCTCATGTGTTAAAGATTTGGTCCAGGCTTAGTGCTGTGGGTGATAAAGGAACCCTTTGGAGGTAGAGCCTAGTGGCAGTTCTTCAGATCACTGGAGGTGCTGTTTTTAAAGAGGAGAGAGTGGTATCCAGCCCTTTGTCCCCTCTTCTTCCTTTTTTTGTGCAATGACTTGAGGTGAGCAGCTTAGTTCCACCAAGCACTACCACCATGATATGGTGACTTTCCACAGGTCCAAAAGCAACAGGGTCAACTGACTATGGACTACAACTGCAGATAGTGTTGTAGAAAAAAGCCAACAAACTTTTCCTTTTTATAAGCTTATTACTTCTGGCGTTTTATTACCATAACAGTCTGCTGACTTACACACATAGTATGAATGTGAAACTGTAGGAAGATAAAAAGAAATAGTGGGGAATTTAGAGGTGATTACATAGCTTTGGAAATCATTTTCCTAGAAACATAGTTGAACACTTTTGAAACCAGAAATCTATTCAGTGTCTGTCTTATTGCTGTCTTTTGAATGACTTCCATTTCTAAGGTAATCTTAAGATGACCATTGGATTTCCACAGAGTTGTTCACTTTTAGGTGATTGAAATCATGAAAATACTGAATTCTTTCATATGCAACTGAAAAGATAGTGCTTGTGGTCACAAATGGACTTAAACCTACTAGTCCAATATTATTAACCTTACTAGTCTCAAGCTAACTTGGCTCAATTTAATATATTTTCACATTATCTAAAGAAAACTAGTTTGTTTACAAAGCAAATTAAACTCTTACTGCACAATGATAACAGATTGTTCATTTTATAAAATCATGAAATGTGAAATTCCAGATAAATAGAAAAACAAAAACAATTATTAATTTAATCACACAGGAAATGAATCCTCTTTCCATTCAGGATGTAATCATTTATTCTCACTCTTTCATCATGTACATGCACTTAATATTTATTTTTTTCATAATCATTTGTAATTTCCTTTTTTTATACCAGAAATTGAGCTGAGAGCCATAACCCCAGTTCTTTTTATTTTTTTATTTGAGACAGGGTCTTGTTAAGTTACCGAGGCAGGCTTTGAATTTGTGATCCTCCTGCCTCAGCTTCTCAAGCCCCTGAAATTACCAACATATGCCACCATACCCAGCTTGTAATTTCCTTTTTAATTGTTAAGTATTAGATTTAATAATTAAATTTCTCGTGTATCATTTTATAATATGTGCATTACATCTTTTTTTTAACTAAAGTATGTTTGATGGATCAGCTCACAGGTATAGATTTTTTTCCACCTTTTTCTTACCTGATATAAGCAGTACTCTAATGGTAAATAAAGTCTCATATAATTATATAATAATGATCCCCCTGGGATATTAACTGGGATAGATGACAAAGGCTTGTGTGCAAACGGTGCCAGTAGAATCAGAAAGACCAGGAGAGATCAAAGAAAAACTTAGAAGATAGAATAAACAGAACCAAAAGATTAATTGAATCCTAATATCTGAAATTTACACCAAGATTATTACCTTCCAAAATTATAATCATTTGCTCAATGATTTATTGCTGTAGTGGGAAGGAGGAAGTCATCAAGAACATTGAAAAGGGCTAGGGTTGTGGCTCAGTTGAAGAGCATTTGCCTAGCACCTGTGAAGCACTGGGTTCCATCCTAGCACCACATTAAAAAATAAATAAGCAATTCCCCAAAAATGAATTATTGTGTCCATCGACAAATAAAAATATTTATTAAAAAAAGCAAACATAGTCAACAGAAGACTTGAAATACAGAGTAGATTATTATTTTTTTCTTGAATTTATAGAAAATAAATTAGCTCAAACTACTCTGATTTGGAAAAATGGGATCTTGAGAATAAAATGTTTTAATTTTAATTTAAAAAAAATCAATCAATCAATCAATCAATCAATCAATTGATTATACCAGGGATTGAACTCAGTGGCACTTTACCCACTGAGCCACATTCCCAGCCCTTTATTATGTTTTATTTAGAGACAGAGTCTTGATAAATTGTTTAGGGCCTCCCTAAGTTACTGAGGCTGGCCTTTGAACTCACAATCCTCCTGCCTCAGCCTCCCCAGCCATTGGGATTACAGTATGTGGCACCGTGCCCAACTGAAATGGTTTTACTTTTAACTTCTAAAGTGCATGGACAGAAATATTAGCCTAATCATATGGGCCTGAATCTTGGAATTTATAAATGTTAACTTTAAAAAAGAGAAAAGTATAAGATATGATCTAGAGGCAGTTTCATATAACACAAAGCACCATGAAACTTCCTAGGCTAAAAGAGTGAACAGACTCATCTGCAAGAGAGAAAGAAGAAAATTTGGTATAGGTGAGTGACATTCCTTGTTTTCATCCCTGGAAGTAGGTAGTGGGGTAACAGATACCACATAAATGAAGACATAAGGAATATAGTCCCTTCCACTGGAAGATGGGAGAGGCAGGTTTGTATATGATTATAGGAATGACAATTGGAAAGAACTGTATACATTTGTACTCTCAACCATTCCCCCAATCCCCTAACTTATCAAATTCTTCTTTAGCCGACTGTGGAAGAGATCTGGAAAAGTTTCCCACCTCTGCAAGAGGTATCGGTGGTTAACTAACAAAAATGGAAGATTCTATCAAGTTTCAAAGGGTCCAAAGCACCAGCCAAATATAGGGATTTAATCAGCAAGTTGAGCTTTCTAAGAGCAAAATTATTTGGTTTAACTTATGAGGAAAGTTTCTTACATTTTTCAATATCCAAAGACCAACATCCTGGGCTGGGATTGTGGTTCAGTGGCAGAGCACTTGCCTTGAATGTTTGAGGAACTGGGTTCGATCTTCAGCACCACATAAAAATAAATAAAATAAAGGTGTTATGTCCATCTACAACTAAAAAAAAAAAAAAAACTTAAAAAAGACCAACAAATCTGATGCGTATTATCAGAAGTTAATTAAGACAAGAAACTAGTGCTCACTTTAATAAGGAGAAAGTAGAAATCAGAGATATCTAACTCTACCTTTATCATATACTAAGTCCTCATATATTCTTAGTCCATGATAAAATGATAGATCCAATAATCACAACCATGTTTCTAGATTAGCTTTTGTATTTCCTTCTTAGTGGTTGAATTAAGAACCTTTAAAAATCTGGACATTTTTTCTTAGTAATTTACCCAAGGGTAGCCTAGGGTTTAGTCTTCCATTTTCTAAATTTCTTTCAAGATTACTTCTTCTCCTTTTGTCTTTTTGTAGATGACCAAGTTCTTGGTCCTTAAGAGTTCCTTTTATTTATTAGCTCAGTCAACAGACACATTATATATCTTTCATATGTCAAGCTGATTATTTTAAATTGCAAAATTATTTTCAGCTATATTTTTTGAATTGTATTTGTTTCATGTTAATTGCACATATCAATGCCTTTATGTTGGATGAAGCTTATGCTTCACACCATTCTCACTTATAGATTTAGGATCCTCAATAGAAATAAACAAAGTACACAAACATATAGGAAATACTGGCTCTGATGTTAAAGAAAATGAGCAGTGATGGCATAGTTAAAGGCAGACTGTGATAAGTAAGGTCATGGCATAGCTCTTCCAAATCATGGATTTAAAACATTGTGAGAAAAACAGTATGATTTCTTTGTTAGTGCCTCTCATATCCTTCCTGGGAATTCAAGTGGAACAGAGAATCCAGTGAAATTTGGTGCTTTGCATCATTACAAATCTCATATCTGCAAACTAATCACGTGTGATAAGGCTAACATGTAAAAAGCATTTGAATCAATAGCTCTTTCAGATGTTTCTTTTTCCGATAAAATTGCTTCATTTTCTTTCCTAACTAATTAATTCATATAAGTAGAAAGATTAAGAGAAGAATTTATATTGGGAGTAACAGGATCCAAACGGTGTATTAGATTTTGTCCTTTTAGTTGGCATCTTCACAAGCCTTTTAGTAATCAGATCTCGGAAACATCTGTCTTAGAAAGGGATATACCTTCTGGCTTCCATTTACTTAAAAAGGAATTAAGTTAGGGTCATGAGCAGAGGTTAGGTTACTCCTACCTGGAAATTAATCAGAAAATTCATTTTGCCTTGTGGTGTTGCTTTTCGGTCCCTTTGCCTTCTACAGGACACCCTTTATCTTCTTAAAATCCTAAAATTCCCTTTCATTTATCATGATACTTTACAGGGATTTTAAGTGGTGGGTTTCCATATTTGCATAATTATATACTCAACATGTAATATAATAGGTGAAAGTAAAACATTTTTAAAAGATGTGACATCTTAAAGAAAATTTACAGGTAAATAAATTCACAAGTGACTTTATTGACAAATTTTATGTTATATTATTAGTCATATTTCTGCTAGAAGAACCCTACTTTCCATTTTGTGTTTTCTCATTTGCATCACCACAAAGTTATTCATACATATGAAAAGGATATTATTCATCTCCACATTTCTTCCTCTCCTTACTTCAAACAAAATGTGTTTATAGGTTATACATAAATACACTACTATATCTATATATTTATACATAGAAGTCTAAGAGATTCAATTTTGGCATTATAAGAGCTAGCAAACCTAAGCGATAATATTATGTGCTACATGTGTCTTATTACATCATTAATGACATATTAAAATTGTCAAATACATTGAGATCCAATAATTGTAACTGACAAGCTTTAGCATGATTGGTCTCCGTTGGGAATGATTTTAAAAAACACAGGAATATATTTCTGAATTCTACCTTTAAGTAAAATGACTGTAGTAAACTCTTGTTTCTCCTTCTGCTAATATTTTTACTGAGATGCTATTTTCACAGTACTCATGGTAACTGGCTTCTAAAATATGTATGTGCATAAAGCCCTCTCAATTCCAAAATTCAGAAACCCAGTGTCCTTCCAGAAACAGCTACAAAGATGAAATGACAAGAAGAAAAATGACCAATCTGGCAGGGCTTACCTCCCTCTAATGCTTGATTCTTCTTAACTCAATATCCCAGGAAATTAATTCACTTGAAATTTTAGGCAGAGTTCACAAAAAAAAAAAAAAAAAATCTCTCCCCTACTCTTCAGTTCTACTCCTAACATTTGGAAAAGTAAACACTACTTCAATTCCCAAAAGTTTTGCCTCAAAAATATCTCGGCATTTGGAAAGAAAGGAAAATAGAAAGACAGTGAATTTCATAGACACAAACCTCATTCATTACAATGATGAGGTATTCTAGAATTCCCACCCTTTGTGTCCTATTTTGTCTGTATTTGGGGATGTCATGGAGGAGGAGAAAGAGGAAGCTTATAATTTTTTTCTTTAAAATCAATTCCCATTTAGCAGTTAACAAATGAATCATTTTTCAGCCCAAAGAACATTTTAATTGCATATTCCTTTTCAGGAATTGTAGGAGATAATTTAAGTGGATAGACAAGGGTAGGCATGTATAGTATAACCTGGTTTTCTAGACAAACCCACTTGTCCGAGATCAAACGGCTACAGCACATTTAGGGTTACAGTCTCCTTCCCTTCCTCCTTATTCTCAACCACAGTGGAGCTTTTTCCAAAGTTGCCATGGTAACACTATATCTGGCTGCTAGCTCTGTCGTAAGTTATTGAACTGAGACTGGCTTTTGGTTTAGCAGATAATTAGGTTCTGTCTCACAGGTTCATTTTCCTGTGACTGGGACGTGAATATGACCTACAGCTGGCCTCAATTTCAGTGTCACAGACAAAACTTTAACCCTTCCAAGCTCCCCAGGCATACTCCTTAGACTGGCTAGTGAGATAGAAGAAGTCCAATGCAGCTCATCCACACCTTGGGGAGGATTACCAAGTCTTCATTTTTATTTTTTTTCTCCAATGATTGCATTAAGGAAAATGTGATCAAGATTGTAGGTATTGGATATTTTCAAAATTAAAACTATATCAAAAATATGATATTTACACATTTTCTGCACAACATAAAAAAATTTTTATAGTCATTATATTTACCTTCTTTAATAAAATTTTAAGTCACCTTGATGTGTCCTCTGTTTCATTTTGGAACTGACAGTATTCAGATTTCAAAAACTTTATTCTAGGAATAAAACTTTTAAATTTTTTTTTTAGTTGTAGTTGGACACAATACCTTTATTTATTTATTTATTTTTAAATAGGTGCTGAGGATCGAACCCAGCACCTTGCATGTGCTAGGTGAGCTTCTTACTGCTGAGCCACAACCCCAGACCAGTTTGGTACTTTTTTATTTGCAGTTTTGAGAACTGCCTACCAGTACATTCATGCCCCTCTCTATATATTTATATATCCTGAATTTATCTGACATTGAAAGTTTTCATCTGGAGTGACAGCAGACCCATGTGACAGGGAATACCACCACCATTCTACTAAAATGACAAAATGTTCACTCAGGGCTTGCATGTTATTGGTTTGGAAAACCAGGTACCTTTTTCAGGTTATATTTGGAAGATTTCAATCAGTTCAAAGATCTGCCCTTTGTTTAGAACAAAGAATTACCTCAACTTTTGGAATAGACGTGAAATTCACAATACCCATGGCAACGCAAAGAGCTGCGGGCTTGGAGAAAGAAGATATATGTCCTTGTATGTCAAGCAATGGGAAAGATCCTCAAAGAAACTTGTTTGAAAATGTTGGTGAATATTGCCAAAAACCTTAATAGAGGGATAAGAAAGCAACAAGGGGTAGTTAGCCATATTAAATATAAATATTTAAATATAAATATAAATTAAAGAAATTTCACAGCTGTTTCAGATAGAGAATCACCAATTTTAATAGTGATAAGTGAATTTTGTTAATTGGAAGATTAGAACATTTGACAATTGTATATGTATATTGCATGCACCACTTAGACTGTATTCTATTTCAATCCATTCCTTCCATTCTCAATCTCAAGAAAAGAAGAACATCTCAATGGCAGCAGCCTCAGTTTTTGCACCAAATGAGCCCCATGGATAGAAAGCCATAGAGAGGTCTGAGGTCAGGATGCGGAGAGGTTCTATTAAGTAAGAGAAGGAGCTGGTTGATATAAGGAACACAATTGTTGCCGTTATTTTTCAGAGTTTATAATCTGAATACAAAGCACCCATTCTCTTACTGATGATCAATAAACATTTGTTGAATGTATAAATTCTTCCCTATTCTATATTCCATACAATAAAAACTAAGTTAGCATTTGATTAGAAAAAAAGACTTAGGAAGTTGACAAGAATTTTCTGTTAAAAAATTCCTTTAACTGCTTTCTCATGATTCCTGATAACTTTTTATTCCTACACACATGAGGTATCTCTTGTCTGCATGATTGCAACACACTGCAACTGGTTTTTTTTTCCTTTATTACCCACTGTAGTCTCTACTACATAGAGGAGATAAGAGTGCTATACTAAAATGCAAATTGCGTCAAGTCAGCACCTTCCTCATAACTGTTCATTGGCTTTCTATGTCATTAGAATAATACTTCCTTAAATCCTTACTGTGCTTAAAAGCACTATATGACCTTGCCCTCACCTATCTAGCTGACATCATCTTCTATACCTATACTTCTTCTCTTTGGCTCCCTACCTTCCCTTTCCTCAACCAGTAAGCATATGCTTGCTAGAGAGTTTTAGTTCTTACTGCACTCTCTTCCAGAAACACTTGTCTTACTCCTTTATTCTCCCCTCTGCTCAAATGTCAACTCCTTAAGGATGCTTTACTTGAACATCTTTAGAGTACCCTGTTCATTTCCAACACCTTTCCTGCTTTAAGTTTTCTTTATAGTGCTTATCCCTTCTCAATGTTATTTTAGACAAAAAAAGACAAACAAATATGTCACTCTTTCCCACTAAAATATGAACTCTGATCCAGATCTCTGATTATTCATTGGATATATCCCTAGTGCCTAGAGCCTAATAGGCTGGGCCTGACTAGGCCTCTAATAAATATTTGTGCAAATAATACATGACTTAATGAATAACTGAATAAAGAGGTTTAAGTAGAATGTTTGAGTGTCCCAATCTAAGAGAAACTAAGACATGAATATTTTTCTGACATAGTGAATCTTTCCCAACATAATGAGGTTGGGTGAATACACAGGATATAATTTAAAGGCATAGTTTATATTTCTTCAGCTCCTTCCATCAAATTAAGGTAAGACAAAGAAATTTGGTTTATTCTCATCTTGTTGTTATATGAACTGAATCCAAAAGAAGGCATCCTCCATATACCAAACACATCGCCATCCTTGTCTTCATGGAAACTTGTTTTCTGTAAAAATCCAGTTAGTAAGTATTTTTGGATGTTTTTAGCCATACAGTCTGTACCAACTACTCTGCACTTCTGTTGAGGTGTGAAAGCAGTTCTAGACACACATAAAGAAAGGGGCATGGCTGTGTCCCAAGAAAATGTTATTTCTTAAGATAGGAATTGGGAAGATTTAGCCCACAAATCATAGTCAGCTAACCACCAAATCCTCCCAATTATCAAGAAAATTCCTGAAGGATCATGGTTTCCTAACTGGCTTCTTTCAAGAAATGAAACCAGTTGGAGGCTGGCTAGAGAACTGAGCATGTAAGTGGAACCTGTGAGCAGCATATGAAGTTGATCTCTTTCCTTTACCCTATTCATATCAAGCTAATTCCTAGTTTTGTACTTCCCTGCAAGGGCAGTTATAGGGCCAGGTCAGGTATTCCCCATGACAAAATTTCTTCTTGGAGAACTGATGAGGGATGCATACAATGGAGGCAAAAATTTAACAAGTACCTCTCTGAGGTGGGGAAAATATATTTAGTGATTTCTGTAATATAAATTCACCATGGCCATTTTAAATTCCCAACATGACGTCACTTAATATTGAGTTGTGAAAACATAATCTGAATTCGTATAAGCTGGCTCCAGCCCACCCCTGGATACTATTTAAGGTCTCTCTCGTAACTCTGCTCACTGCCCTTGCAATGTCGGACAAGAGTGGTGAACTTGATGAGAGCAACTGGCTGGATAATCTTTTTCAATGCCAATAATTACAGAGGAACTATACAAATGTAATACTATGTATAAACCTTGGAGCTTAGTGTCTGGCTAAAATGGATACCCAGGAAATGGTAGCTATTACCTTCTTAGTTTAAGTTATTATAAGCATTAAAATTAAATGTTTAGCTACAGACTCAATCCAGTTTAAGCATTTTCCTGTTAATAAGGCCTCTTAACATTGAAGCAACCAAGATAAAGGAGTTTTATGTACTATTCACAATTCTGCCCAGCTCAAGGTTAAGATAGCAATGAAATACTTCAACCAGACCCAAAAAAAAAAAAAAAAAAAGGGAAAAAAAGGTTCCACTTGACTGCAGCTCTTCATAACACTTCACAAGGGTCAAGCTGTGTTATTTTCCCTCAATGTTAAACAGAATGCATCTTAGGAGCATAGTTCAATTATTGATTGAAAAGGAGGTTCAAACTGACTATAATCCAAACAAACCCACTCCAATGAGTTCAAGACCAGGAATGGGCCAACAGCAGGGCAAAGGTTTCACTCAAGTCTAAAGGCAAACATTCAATTTGAGTGAATAGCATGAATGCCTTATGTTATGTGGCCACATGCAGTATAGTTCTAGGCCAGTTGTACAAAACTGGTGAAATAATGGGCAAAATATTGACAGAGGTTTGAGACAAATTGCACATAGATCTGAAAGAAACGAATGAAAAAACATATGGATCTTGAAAGTGATGAAAATGCAATTTTAGTTCTAAACCCTCCGTGTTTGGGAGAAACAGCTAATATATGCTGCTTCGAATTCTACCCATGTGAGTTTTGACCTATTTACCCTCCAGTCTCCTCCACCCATCCCCTTTAATCTATAAAGCTGTCTGCACATCTGTCAGAAGTACAACTAAGAGTTGGGTCCATGATGTAAAGTAAGAAAGGGTATATTTCTTTCTACCTTCTGATATTAATTTTTCTCTCTGTGCTTTCATTGGTATATAATTCAAATACAGTTGGTTTTGTAGCACTTGTAATGCTCTGCTTTCTGAGGGCTTTGTTCTAGAATATACATTTTATCAGTGCAACACCTCAGCCACACCCAATTCAGAATCCTTCCTGACCTTCCAAGCATTCTGAGTGGGTTGAGTTTTCTCTGTCTCAATGAATTATTCTGTATGCATTTTGCTATATTTTCTTTTGATTTTCTGCTTGTGCTAATATTAATGAAAATATATTTTAAAAAGGCATTTTAAAAACTTTTATTATGTGTATATATATATCCAAATATATACAAATTATGAATAATGAATCTCTCTGTAATTATTACACATAGAGGTTCAGTGATTTAATTTTTATTAAATTATGTCTAATCTGTTTTCTCTATACCTACTATTCTTAACTTCCTGGATGATTTTAAAGCAAATCCAGGCATCCTATAATATTCAAGCATCTTATAGATTTTTTAGTATGTATCTTTAAAAGATAAGCACTGTTATTGAAACCAGGACGGCATTATTACACCTACAAATATTTATAATACATCCATAACATAACTAAATATCATATAAATCTACACATTTTGGGATTATCTCATTTTCCTTTGTATAATTAGCTTGTTTGAATAAGGATTCAAACAAGGTCCACATGTGACATTTGTTTGGCTTGTTTCTAAAGTTACATTCAATCTACAGGTTTCCTCTTTTTTCTAATTCACTGCAAATTATTTGCTGATGAAACCGGGTCATTTGTCCTTTAATCTCTCTCATCCTGATTTTTGCTGATTGCATTCCTTCCGTGTCAGTGTCATTAGACCTGTTCTTCTTTCCCTTTATTTCCTGTAAACTAAAAATTAGATTGGTTAAATGTTTTAGTCAGGTGTCCTTATTTTTTCTCATTTTACCAAGATTCATTCATAAATAATGTTTTAATCAGCCTTTTCATTGCTGTGAACAAAAGACCTGACAAGTTATAGGCGAAAAATTTTATTTTGACTCATGATTTCCAAGTTCCACTCCATGGCCACTAATTCCACAGCTCTGTACCTGGGGTGGGTCAGTACATCAAGGTGAAAAGACACAGCAGAGGAAATCATCTCAGAATATGGCAACCAGTAAGCAGAGAAACAGCTCTGTTCACCAGGGACAAAATACAAACCCAAAGGCAAGACCCCCAGACCCACCTCCTCCAGCCACACCATTCCTGTAACTAGTTACCATTCTATCAATCCATATCAGTGAATTAATTCACCAATGAGGTTACAACTCTCATGATCTAATCATTTTACCCCAAAACATTCTTTTTTTTAATGTTTTAGTTTTAGGTAGACACAATATCTTTATTTTTTATGTGGTGCTGAGGGTCAAACCCAGTGCCTCATGCATGCTAGGCAAGCACTCTACCACTGAGCCACAATCCCAGCCCCCAAAACATTCTTTCATTGTCTTACATATCAACTTTGGAGGAAGGGGACACCTAATATCTATACCATAACAAACATTATTGTTCACATCCTAGGAAGAAGCACATAGAAAGCCTGTCTTTATTATGTGATGTAGGAGAAAGTTTGTGATTTTGTAAGTATATGTTATAGTTACTTTATCTAGGAGTTAAACATTTCAAGATCATATGTTCAATTTTAATATGTTATTATTTTATGATATTTCAAAAGTAGCACTTCAATCTCTAGTGATTCTACTGAGAAAGTTCCAGAGCATCCCACTAGTGAATATCAGCTATGGATCATTCCACTCACATGTCTGAAATTGGATTAAATTCTGAAAAAATTCCACAGGAAGTGGCTTTGAATCAAGTATATATTCAGAATTTATCTACTTTGCAATAATCTTATGTCATTTTTAGAATAAAAAATGAGCAATGTTGTATCAGAACCAGACTTCTTGGTGACCAGAATTTCTGATATAAGGGAAGACCCACAGGGAAGACCAATACAAACAAGATTAGAGGGACAAGTCAAAACATTGGAATTATCTTATTATGGCATGAAATGAACCATTCACACCTACTCCAAGAAAGTGAAGCATTTCTATCACTGTCCTGGAAAACAGAATTAAGGTAAAAATATGAAGACACAATATGAAAAGCCAATTTTCCTTGCAAAGCACAATAAATATAAGTATATTCTTGGAAATGGAAAAAAAGTACATATTATTATTTTGAGAAATGTATGGCTTTAAAAAGTCACCTTATGGTTACTGCCTTTTTGATTCTTGTTATTTAAAAAAAACTTGTAAAAATTAGTGGTTTATAATTTATAGTTAGCTAGCTCATTATGACAGAACTCTAATCTCATATATATCACTTGTCAGATATTAGAATACATTTTTCACTATTTATTGAGGCTAATAAAATTATAGTTTTTATATGCATGCTTTATTATAGTTTTTATATGGATGTGTTTTATTCAACACTATGGTTTTTGTACAAATATTCCAATTATTCAACAATGCATCACTAGAATTAGACCTCTTTTCTATTTTGAAACACTTGGAGAATATCTTATTTTGACTCGGAGAGCTGAATTGTAGGTTAATGAGTTCTTTTCTAGACCTGAGGTTCTTTGAATCTATTTTAATTCCACATCAGGAATTGAAAAGGTTTTCCAGGAAGAGTTATATAAATCCACAAACTGAAATATGGGAGTCTAAGACCTACTTTTTCTATTTCTGTTTGCCTATTGCTTTTGTCCCAAAGTAAGAATAGAGATATATTGCTTTTTTTTTCGACATATTGCTTGTTATAGCTGATTAACATTTTGAATACATTTTTCTATGTGTTAATTAAGCTCTTTCATCTTATATGTGATTTTAAAATTATTCTATCAAGTAATATTAAACTTTTCACTATTAGGAATCTAGAGAAGACTGAGATTTTAGGACAAAAGTTTGAAGTTGTTGTAAAAACAGACAAGAACAGCCATAAATAACTGAGTTTTTAATTTCTACAGAACAATGGCAATAAGATAATCTGAACAAAATTGAATCAGAGATTGTTATACTTATCATATGACAGGAAATTTTATTTAAAATATTATTTTATTGTGGTGAAAACACAACGTTATCAACCTACTTAACAGATTTTTATGTGTAAAATACATGGTCATTGGCTATAGACAAAATGTTGCACTGTGGATTTCTAGGGCTTATTCATTTAGCTTATCTGAAATGTTATGTGTGTTGGATAGTAACTCCTCATTTCTTCCTACCCACAGAGGATGGCAACTGCTATTCCACTCATTGCTTCCACAAATTTTACCATTTTTTGTTCCTCACCTAGGTAAGCCATGTAGTCATTGTCTTTCAGTGATGGAGTCATCAGTATTGTTTATTAAAAATTTTTCTTCCTTTTTTGGTGGGCTAATATTCCATCATTTATACCACATTTCTTTATTTATCTATTTTTTTTGATGGACATTTAGGTTGTTTCCACATCTTGGCTGTTAGTAATAATGCTTCGATGAACATGAGAGTAATATCCCTTAAAAATCCTGATTTCAATTCTTTTCAATAAATTCCCAGCAGAGGTATTGCTGGTTCTCATATGATAGAATTATTCACAATTTTGGAAGGAACCTTCACCTGTTTTCCATGGCAGCTCCACCATGTTGTATTACCAACAGTAAAGAAGTATTGCCATTTCTCCTCATCCTCACCAAAACTTTTCCTCTCTAGTTTGTTGATAATCCATATCCTGACAGGCTTGAGGTAGTATTTCCTTGTAGTTTTGATTTGCATTTCCCTAATGACTAGTGTTATTAAAAGTTTTTCAAATACCTGTTAGCTATGTGTTTGTCTTCTTTAAAGAAGCATTCGTTCAAATTTCTATTTCATTTTTAATTATGTTTTGTTACTGAGTTTCTTATGTATTTTGGAATGTAATAACTTATTGGAGGAGATTCTTATTTTTTTTTAATTTCATATTTCATAACATCTCAGACCCATGAAATTAGCTATATTAAAGTAGGTGATTTTGTGTTGCTTACTCTGACAATACTGATTAGAAAATTAGCAGAAATTGGTGAAATGCAGCTTATATGAGGGAGCAGGCTACTTTTTATTGGTTTAATTAAACCCAGGTTCTGAGAGATTTACTCAATAACTTTAAATTCAGTTAAGTAGAGAGTCATGGCAGTTACTCATAAAGCCTAAGAAGGTGTATTTCAGCAGCTGTTTATGTTGACAGCATTCAGTGTAATTGTAGTATGAAAACAAGTTTCATGAGATAAATTTCTTTTTTGAATATGCAAGTAAATATATTTTGCATTAAATTCAATTGTTATCATGTGTGCAGTTTATGTTCTTATGTGACAGTTATAGATTTTTAAATATCCATTTATGATTCATTTGAAAAGGTTTTTCTATAATTTGGTTGAGTTGTAACAATGCTTATTCTCATTGTACATTATCAGAATTCTATATTGATGACAAAGTAGTTTATCAGAAAAAAAAGCATATTCTCTGTTGATACTTGAAAGTAAGCATCACTTAGTATAATCCTGATAATGATGAAAATTTATATAGGAGGATGTCACCTAGGAAGGAAGCCACCACTTCAGAAGTTTAAATATTCTCTTAGAGCCCTCTTTTCTTCTATTTTTTAAAAATTATGCATGACCAGTGAATTGGATTGTGTATTGAAAATGATCATTCTTGGGGGGGTGGATACCGGGGATTGAACACAGGGGAACTTAACCACTGAGCCACAGTTCCAACTCTTTTTTTATTTTATTTTGAGGCAGTGTCTTGCTAAGTTGCTTAAGACCTTGCTAGGTTGCTGAGGCTCGCTTTGAACTCATGGCCCACTTGACTCAGCCTCCTGAGCCACTGGGATTACAGGCATGTGCCAACATGCCTGAAGTGATTTGGTATTTTTAAGTAAAACAAAACTAATAGATCTTTGTAAGTTTCAAATCTGAGAACTTGACCTATTACACATGTAAGGGGTGTTTGCTAGTTGAAATGTTGAACAAATAACAAAATTGTAGAATCTTAGAATTATGATACTTTAAAGATCAGTTGCTTTCTCCTGGAAGTCTGGAAACTTTTAGAAATAGAATTAACATTTTCTAAGGTGGAGCATTTTATACACAGCCAATGACATCTTCAGATAGCTCTAATTTTTGAAAAGGTTTTTCATATACTGAGCCAAATTTTGTCTTTGGAGCAATACCAAATATGATGACATGACAGTCATATTGAAGGTTAGTTTTCATGCTCATCTATCCTACAAACCATTAATTTACTATAATAAATTTTCAAGAATCTTAAAATTATGGCATAACTATTATGCATGTACATGGACTTAAGGATACAGTTCTTAAGATCACAAAGTTCACCTGAGATATTTTTAGCCAGACTGTAGTAAATTAGTCCAATCACAGAGTTATAGGAAGGAGTCCACACAAGACCACTGTTACTTCTGACATCACCTGCAAGTTGGGGTTTTCAAAAACAGTCTTCAGTTTTCAATGAGACTCAGAACTTACCAAAACTTATTATGCCCACAGTTCCATTTATGAGAAGGAAATAATACAGATAATCACCCAAAGGAAGACACATGGTACAAAGGTTGGAAAGACTCCAAATGTGAGTCTATTGTCTTCAGAGTGTGCTCCCCTTTCAGTTTATGTGGGATCACATATGTATTGGCCTCTGTTGTGCTACAGGAATAGAATCCCACAGACTGAGAGCTATTTATAATATGTATAAATATATTTCTTACAGTTTCAGAGGCTGGGAAGCCCCGACTGAGGAGCCAGTGTCTGGTAAGGGCCTTTTTGCTGCATCATCCCATGGCAGAAGGCAGAAAGGCAAGAGGGTAAGGGGAAGGAAAAGAGTGGGGAGAGAAA